AGATGAGGGAACTGAGATCCAGAAAGGTTAGGTAACTTCTTCAGGATCACACAGCTAATAAGAGGTGGAGCCAGGGTTTGAGTCCAGTTCTGCCTCGCTCCCCCGGGAGGCCCAGAGCACGCGGGGGCGGGGTTCGGTGCCTCCGGCTGCCAGACGTCCCCAATATGGTCTGAGGCGCTTCCAAACCCCCTCCCTGGCTTCAGGAGTTTTCTCTGCAGTACTCTGCCCGCCCCTTTGCGGCCCAGATCCCAGTCGCCGCGGCCTGCGTGGAACTCTGCGCGAGCTGAATCTCCTGCTGCAGAACGACCCCGACCCGGAGCCCGAACCCGAGCCCCTCCGCGGCCCCAGCCTCTTTGTCCGACCCCTTTCCCATCTCCCCTGCCAGGAATGCTCTCCCCACCAGAGCAAATCTAGATGTCCCCTCGGCGACTGTGGGCACCCTCCCCAACTGTGGAGCCTTCGCACGCCTTCCTCAGAGTCCGTGGTTGTAAAATTTGTTTTTCTCTAAAGTATTTGAGTGTCTCCCTCACTAGATCCTGAGGGTTTTAGTGAGTCCCTCGGTGTGAGCACACGCAGGCACTGCTGGGCGTCTGTAATTGATTCTTAGTTAATACAAGTGAATAATCACAACTAGACCTTAATTTGCAGGAACTGTGTGACAGGCACTTTTTAAAATGCTTTACACGTGTTGATTCAAGTGTAATCCTCACAAGAACCCTGCGAGGAAGATAGGACAGCAAGTGCCCTGTTCCTGTTTGTAAACGTGCCCTACACCCTGCAACAATACCTACAACAGAACCTTGCTAGTTGTGGGGGTTCGCAATAAAAGTTTCTGTTTGAATAAATCCTAGAGTGTGCAGGGACACAGCAATGGAAGACCTGGTCCCTTTGTCTGTACTTACCCTATAGCCAGTTCATTGTGAGACACTGCCTTCTGGTCACTTTTACTGTTAGTCCGGGTTTCCCAGTCTGTCCTTTCTGACTCCCTGCCTTACCTCCTAAAAAGCTACCTCCCCTTTTCCCACTCTTGATAATGAACACTATGCACTTTCCACGTTCAAAGCATGCCACACTCCCTGTCTCCCTCACCTTGGCCTCCCTAACCCAGGCTTGTCCTAGTGAAATCACTTGCAAAGCCTGCCCTTTCAACTTGCTGTGTTTTCTCCATCAAACACAATTTTCATCAAACATCCCCCAGGAGCACCTTAGATGATTTCCTTTTGCCTAGGTTCTGATTTAGCTTTCTCAATAAGGACCTGAAAGTCACGTTCCTAGTGCCACACTAACCCTCTACCAAGAAGAGGCGATAGGTTTTAGTTTGGGGGTGGGAGTAGGGGAAGATGATTTACTTCCCCATCCTTCTGAAACTCCCTCACAGGAACCTTTTCCTTCTTTGGGCTTTTCATCCCCGTTTTTCTCCAGCTGTCTGTTTTTCCTTCTGAACTTGGCTGTTCACCGTTGAGCCTTTTACTCTGCCTTACATGGTCACCTAACTTTGGGCCTATACTGTATTTGGCCCTTTCAGACTGTAGTTTCATGTGAAGCAGCAACTTTGTGTTGTCTTGCATTGTTTTGTATCTTCCACAGCACCAGTATAGGACTATACACATAGTACAAGTTCAGTAAAGTATTTCTAAATGATCGAACAATTTCTCCAAGTGAAGAAACTGAAGGAAAATAGATCAGCTAAACCAGTTAGACCCGCAGGGTACCAAGCAGAAGCAAATGTTAAACTGCACGATGACTGTATTTCTACAACTCAGGGCTCACAGAGACGCCAAGAGAAAGTGTAGCAGGATAAGCCGCAGATAAAACTCCTCAGACACTGGATTAAAGAAGGAAGACGTTTTTTATTCGGCCGGGAGCGTCGGCAGACTCGCATCTTAAGAGCCGAGCTCCCTTGGCCTTTTTAAAGGCTTACAACTTTAAGGGATCCATGTAAAAGGGTCATGATAAATCAAGCAAGCGTGGAAAACGTGACGGGGGGCTACATGCATCAGCTAACAGAACAAAAAGTTTTACAGTGCTTTCTCATACAACGTCTGGAATTTACAGATAACACTAGTAGTTTTGGTCAGGGGTTAATATTATCATTATTATTTTAACCACCAGGGCCAGGTGGTGGTGCCAAGGTCGTCTAGCTATTTATCTTACTTCTGTTTCTTTCCAACTTTTTGCTTTCTTCCCCTTCTCCTGTCTTATAAACTAGGGAAAAGGGGAGACGGGGAAAAGCCCGGAAAGACAACAGGAGAAGTGGTGGTCTCATTCTATAGAAGAAAAAAAGAATCCTCACAATAAAAGTATGAGCCACTCAAAGAAACATGCCATCATGGGACAGAATGGACAAAACAGGAAGAACTTGAGGTAATGGTACCATCTCAACATTAAAAGGAAAAAAGCAGGTTTCAAATGAAGGCAAAGATAATAGGAAGTACTAGTAAAAAGAACAGGAATTGTAAAGGAAACAAACAACAACAACAACAAAAAAAAAACAGGTGTATTTGAAAAGGAGCCAAACAGAACATCTAGAAATGAAAAGTATACTCACTGAAATGATTTAATGAAAGAAAATCTTCCTCAGCAATCAAGCTAGTGAGCAGTCTGGCAGTAAATCTTTAGAGCTATAAAGGAGTTAGCTCTGCCAGGCACGGTGGCTCACACCTGTAATCTCAGCACTTTGGGAGGCTGAGGTGGGTGGATCACCTGAGGTCAAGACCAGCCTGGCCAACATGGTGAAACCCCTAAAAATACAAAAATTAGCTGGGCATGGTGGCACATGCCTGCAGTCCCAGCTACTCGGGAGGCTGAGGCAGTAGAATCAGTTGAACCCGGGAGGCAGAGGTCGCAGTGAGCCGAGATCGCGCCACCGCACTCCAGCCTGGACGGTAAGAGTGAAACTCCATCTCAACAACAACAAAAAAGTTGTTAGCTCTGGGCTTGGGTAATGCCCCCCACTTTGGTGCCACCACCCTCTGCATATGCCACCTGACAGTGCTGACCACACTGCACTGTGACTGCCTGTTTTCTTGTCAGTCTTCCTTGTTAGACTGTAAGCTCTTTGACAGCCAGGACTGTTCTATTCATGGTTGAACCCCAAGTCTGGCTCAATGCCGGGCACATGATAGGAACACAACAAATATTACTAGAAAATGAATGACTAAGCAGAAACACTCTCCAAAATTGTATAGTTTTTTATGGTAGCACTAATTACAGAATCAAAACTTCAGGAAGATCCATATGCCCGACAGGATCAAGCAAAAGAAAAAAAGTCAACAAGAAATAAGAGTCTTGTAAATCTTGAGAATTGCCAAGAATATAGACCATCCCAGGTCCCTGGAATCCTGTGGGATATGTTGTAATGAAAAGTAAATGCAAAATACTAAGTACCCACCATTGCAATTAATTTGACATCATACTGATCCAGTCAGGAGGGAACTGAGGTGATGTCAAGGGCAGCATGAGTGTTCTGGCCTCACCTGATGTTTTCTGCTGTTAAGAGAATACTACAGACTGGGTAAGTTATAAAAAAAAAAGAAACTTATTTCTCACAGTTCTGGAGGTGGAGAAGTCCAAAAACGTGGCACCAGTGTCTGGTGAGGGTCATCCCATGGCAGAAGGTGGAAGGCAGAGTGAGCACACTAGACAGAGAGATCAAATGGGGGCTGAACTTGTCCTTTTTTCTGAAGCCCATTCTTGAGATAACTAATCCACTCCTGAGATAGGAGCATTAATCTTCTCTTAAAGTTCCCATCGTTAATACCATTATATTGACAGTTAAATTGCAACAAGAGTTTTGGCAGGAATATTTAAACCATAGCTCCTGGGAAGGTGCACAAGGTGTAAGGAGAATCCACCTTGGTGTAAAGAAGATGGGCTCATTTCGATGTAGGATTTCTGTTTACTAGTTCTGGGTGAGAACTAGTTCTGGTTGCTGCCTCTGATCATCTGCTTGTCTGGGGTGAGGGCAAGTTGGGAGTGGGAACACTGGCTTTTCTTCTGCCTTTGGATCCCTGGAGTCCCACACTCAGACATCAACCCCCTCCCAGAAGCCAAGCTGCAAAAGGAGCCAACTTTAGGTCCTGGTTCCAATTCCACTTGCCTCTGCCTCTCCCCACCCTCTTAAAAAGAAAACAACAACAACATAGGATTATACTGAACAATTATGTATGTATGTATATATTTATGTATTTATGAGAGAGTCTTACTCTGTTGCCCAGGCTGGAGTGCAGTGGCAAGATCTCGGTTCACTGCAACCTCCGCCTCCCAGTTCAAGCAATTTTTGTGCGTCAGCCTCTCAAGTAACTGGGATTACAAGTGGCTACCACCACGCCTGGCTGATTTTTGTATTTTTAGTAGAGACAAGGTTTCATCCTGTTGGCCAGGGTGATCTCAAACTCCTGAGCTCAAGTGATCCACCCGCCTTGGCCTCCCAAAGTGCTGTGATTATAGGTAAGAGCCACCGTGCCCAGCCTGAAAAATTTTAATACATAAATTCAATTAATTATCTTATAGTCAAGGACTCTTCTACTAAGTGAAGTGAGGCAGCCTGCACAGGTGTTCAATTCTGTGCCTGACACTGTTGTTTGCTTTTCAAGTATTAACTCCTCTTACTATTACAGTATGGGGCCAGGGCTATGATGATGATCCTCATTCCACAGATGAGGAAACTGAGATCCAGAAAGGTTAGGTAACTTCTTCAGGATCACACAGCTAA